ATTCTAATACAGATTCACCATGGCAAAGGTTGCGAAGTGACACATATACAGTCCATTTGAAGCTGTGAAGGTGCTTTGAATCTGCGCACCACGTAGAGGTTCGAGGGCTTATCTCTTAACAGTCGCTTTGTTCTTGACACTCTTTGCGCTATAACAGTAATTCCCAAAATTTTCCAGTTTGAGGAACACCTTGACAATCGATTTTTATTCATTCATGCGAAATAGGAACAATACTAATGTAATGACTCAAAATGTTGTCACACTATATCAGGATTTACACATTTCAACAAATAACACTCTCAATAATAATGATAATAATAATAATAATAATAATAATAATAATAATAATAATAATAATAATAATAATAATAATAAAGAAAGTAAGTAAAGGTATCCCTCTAACAGGCCGTGGAAGTCTATATGGTTGTGAGATGTTGAGGTTCCAACATTTTCTAGACAATCGGCTCACAGATGGCGGTGAGGTTGTCAGACCTACGCGCCGGCCAGCCCTTTACTTCCAAGAATATTCAAAGAATATTCCTGGTACTCATTTCTGTTAGAGGCTGAGTCGACCCCAGGGCCACAGTGCGGTTGCAAGGATTAGGTCAATTGAAAAAAAATCCAGTGACCTCATCGGGACTTGAAAACGCGAACTATCCTGCCGCGTGCCACCCAATAATAATAATAATTCAATTATTTATTATTTATGTGCTGAGCCAACAGCCACAAGGCCAGTTACAGACACAGCACAGCGCAGATAAAAGTAATTACATATGGACAAACAAAACATAAAGTCAAAGACTAATTAAAGGTAAGCACTGGAGGAGAGACACACTAATCCAGACAATGGAAAAGAGCAAACAAAGTACAATAATAATTTACTTCCTTAGTTAGTCATGGAGCTGAGCCCTTCTGGAGGAGCCGCCAATTCTGCAGCTACTCAAGAATTTCCCAGCATTTTATGGAGCCCGAAGGTTCATTACCGTGTTTACAAGAGTCCTCCACTGGTCCCTATCCTGAGCCAGATCTATACAATCCATACCACCCCATCCTATCTCTCTAAGATCCACTCTAATATTGTCCTTCAACCTACGCCTTGGTTTTCCCTGTGGTCTCTTTCCTTCTGGCTTTCCCACCAATATCCTATACGGATTCCTCGTCTCCCCCATTCGTGCTACATGACCTGCCCACCTCGTCCTCCTTGACTTGATCATTCTAATTATAATTGAAGAAGAGTACAAGTTATGAAGCTCCTCATTATGCAGTTTTCTTCAACCTCCTGTAACTTCATCTCTCTTCGGTACAAATACTTTCCTCAACACCCTGTTCTCAAACACCCTCAGTCTATGTTCCTCCCTTAATGTCAGAGACCAAGTTTCACATCCATACAGAACCACAGGCAAAATTATAGTTTTGTATATTCTAATTTTTATGTTCTTGGACAACAGACGAGAAGACAAAAGGTTCTGGACTGAATGATAGCAAGCATTTATAATTAACACAAATCTAAGTTGTTCTTCAGAGTTAAGAAATGTAAAGTATAAATATTTAGAAATAATAATAATAATTCTTTATTTTTATGTGTTACGCAGCAGGTACAGCAGCTACAGCAGCCACCAATTACAGAGTTAGCACAATTAAAGAAACATAAAACGAAGGGAAAATACAGCGATATATTGTAAATATGTATATGTAAGCTACTGTCACGAGGAGTGATTGTAGACGGGTTTTTATTGGATATTAGATTTATTGCCCACTTACAGGTCGTAACTAGAACTAACTATAACATTGTCGCTAATTTCCACAATTTACAAATCACTAAAGCACGCGCTAAGTCTTTTCAGCCTGCTGTGTCTTCACTAATCGTTCCCTGGTAACGGCTTCTAATAGTGGGGTTTCTTCAACTGCACCGACCAAGTTTTCTCTCCACAGACTTTCTTACACTCACTAACTTCTAAACTTGTTTCGGTTACATCTCGACTCGGACCGCGTAGAAACACCGTTCTTTGTTGTCCTCCGATCATTTCCGTGGGAACGTGTTTGTTTTACGAAGGTGTTGTCCAGTAACGGCTGCGTATACTTTATTATTATGAATCTGTTGTCTAACATCGAATGTTCTTTCACTGTTTGTTTCGAGGTCGTTACCCAGTAACGGGCATACACGCTAAAATATTCTACTTTATAGTAGATGCAGGACAAGTACAACTTCATAATAATACTGACTGTAACAAAATAATGTAACTATCGATTAACCGGGTTAACAAAGGAGTGACGCTTGAATAAATGAACGCTAAAGGTGTTGACCTTAAATATTTTATTTGCGGCTAAGCTCCAGCAAACCGAAGGAACCAAACATAAAATGTATTGGAGTCTCTAATGTTTCTGACCGGAACTATGATACCAGCAGCTTCTAAAAGCGAGGTGCAAGTTACATATAATTAATGCCTCAAAGTAACACTGCCTCAAGAAGAAGGTGTGCAATTTAAAGTTATCTAAAACATAAATGTATGAATTATGATTTCTAAAATATCTCTACTACTACTACTACTACTACTACTACTAAAGGTAAAAAAGCAAAATTGTCCCTGTGATTAACTAATTAAGCACTATGCCATGAAGGCGTATGGGGGAGTGGACGCATAGATCCACATTTTCTTTACTTTGGCACTAACTGGAGTTGAGCGGTCAGCTTCACGACCCTGCCGCTTTAATCCCGGGGAAAGAGTCCACGGTACCCATTGAATAGAAAGTTGGTTGGACCCCACAACCGGTCTGGGCGACGTGGAGAACAAAAAATTCTTGATCCTACTGGGACTCGAACTCCGACTAGTAGCAGCAGTATAATAGTAATGAAGTTACCATCATTAAATTATACGTGTCACAAACAAAATATAAATGTCATTTATACAAGAGGTTTCGAGAAATACATAAAATTGGGAAAACTCTATCCTTCAACATTCTTATTTTTCAGATAAATTGGGAAAAACCGCCATAATTGGATTTCAATGTCGGAACACTTCGGGTGAGTTCGAGGGGCACTCGTGTTCCACCGGAGAATAGTCTGGGAATCAGTGGGCCGCAGGGCCATCATGGAATTGGTGTTGAGGCTGACTACCGGTACAGATGTTGGGCTGAAAATTTGCAGTGGTTTCTAATCTTTACGATTCTCCTTCAGCAACACCCTTGGTCTCTTAAAATTCCGACACCTCTTCCACCCAATATATATTTTATATATTAATGAATTCAGTAATTCTTATGTAGACATATTTGTTTACCTAAGAACAAACTTAATGTCCAGTTTCATCTTTTTTTTTTCCTTGGCATTACAGCCCCAGTGGGCCTAGGCCTACTTCCATGAACTTCTCCATACACTTCGGTTTTTCTAGATCTTACACATACGGCAGGACTCCTTGGGCGGGTGATCAGCTCGTCGCAAGGCCTCTACCTGTACACAAGCACAGAAAAACGCACACAAACATCCATGCCCTGAGTGGCATTCGAACCCACGATCCCAGCTTCCGAGCGAGCGAAGACAGTGCATGCCTTAGACCGCTCGGCTACCGTGACCGGCCCGGTTTCATCTTACCTGTGATAAATCTGAGTTCAAAATACAGGAAAACAAGGAAAAAGCAAACTTAACCTGGAAAATATTTATGACAATGATAACAACAAATTGAAAATTTTATTTCAATTGTCAATGGGAGTACTACCATAGCTTCTTTGCTACCGAGGGTCAGAACTCAGTTCGATCTCAGGAAACAAACGTCAACTTCAGCGGAAATAATTCAATTTAGCTGCATTTTGTCATTTCTGTGTAACAACCCGTCCGAATTATTGATCCCTGATATAAAAACAAGTATAGCGATTATATTCTGTGGTTCTGTATGGGTGTGAAACTTGGTCTCTGACATTAAGGGAGGAACATAGACTGAGGGTGTTTGAGAACAGGGTGTTGAGAAGAATATTTAGACTAAAGAGGGATGAAATCACAGGAGGTTGGAGAAAACTGCATAATGAGGAGCTTCATAACTTGTACTCTTCTCCAAGTATAATTAGAATGAGCAAGTCAAGGAGGATGAGGTGGGTAGGTCATGTAGCACGAATGGGGGAGACGAGGAATGCGTATAGGATATTGGTGGGAAAGCCAAAAGGAAAGAGACCACAGGGAAGACCAAGGTGTAGGTGGGTGGACAATATTAGAATGGATCTTAGAGAGACAGGATGGGATGGTATGGATTGGCTAAATCTGGCTCAGGATAGGGACCAGTGGAAGGCTCTTGTGAACATGGTAATGAACCTTCTGGTTCCATAAAATGCTGGGAAATTCTTGAGTAGCTGCAGAATTGGCGGCTCCTCAAGAAGGGCTCAGCTCCATGAGTAAGTAAGTAAGATAGCGTTTATATTTCGACATTTGTCTGAATTATTTATAGCCAAATAAAGAGCACCGTGCAGCATTTTCAATTTAAGAATTTGAACTCTTTTACTAACAGTTTTCGTTTGGCCGCGCCATAGGTCAAGCGGTCAGTCGCTGGCTTCCCACCGCGGCGGCCCGGGTTCGGTTCCGGGTCTGGTCAAGTTGGATTTGTAGTGGACAAAGTAGCGCTGGGACAGGTTTTCTCAGAGTACTTCGGTTTCCCCTGCCAATCTTCATTCCACCAATTGCTCCACAATCACCCTCACCTATCATCTGGGGCTGGTACAATAGGCCAGAAGTGGCCGCAGTACAAGGGACTTAGTCCCACCCCACTAGCAATAAAAAAAAGTTTTCGTATGCTACTAATTACGAGTTAGTTGTTCATAAACAGTAGTCTAAATACGAGTGCTAAAGGTAATGGCAAAGTAAAGTAAAGCGTGCGTGCTTACGGCATTAGGAAGAGAATAACGAGACCGAGATATCGAGTTTCACATATCGACAACAGAGGGAAGTACAAACTTCATCGTTGCCAAGGCATGCAATTAATTGCATATTTCAACACTAGATGTCACAACACGAACATAACTTGTCTCGCCTATCACGACCATCACGACCTTCATGACCACGCTATTGTCCTAGGTAGGAAACACATGTGCCAATTGTTGATACGCCAGCAGGATGGTCATGTGATACAAAGTTTCTACAAATACCAAGCAAGGTAAGAGATGTGACATAGTACGATTCTGTATAATTTGTGGTATACACAAACTGTGCGTAAACGGGGTATTATACGAAATTGACGAGTACAAGGTTGTTTATTTAACTAGTATTTTGAATGATACCAAACCGGATGCGACTGAAATGCAGGGTTGGCGGGAATATCTTAACAGTTTTGTGATTGTGAAACCTTGTCTTCTCATTTCATTTTCACATATGTATTTTCAACAACTAAACTGAACTACCCAATTAACACGTACCAATATTTTGTTACAGCATTTTGCAATAAATGGACAGAAGAATGGACGAGTTAAACAGCGTGAAGCCTGCGGAGGCAGAAAATAACAGCACCCAGACATCAAGGTGATATTACATTATGTTTAATAATGTTTATGCCTTATAAGGAGAATCTGTGATACTTTTTTTTTCTTAACTTTCTGTGGTGAACAAACTGTACTAAAGCAAAGTAACTTAAATCCACATTAAAACAAATGATTCTCACCAGTTTTTGCTATTAGCATGTCATGTAAGAGAGCTCTGTAATGGTATAAAAATATATCACAATGAGAAATAACAGGGAATCCTTTATGCAACTCTAATACTCTCCCTCACTGAACCAACCGTATGGTGGTAGAACCCAAAAGATTCGAAGCCTGCCATTGGACATTTGGAGATATGTTTATTCCAGTGATTAGATATATATGACAGAATGTTGCAGGTTTGTGGGTAGCACTTCTGCTTCATATTCTTAAGGGTTTAGGTTCAAATTTTGGCCCAGAGACCAACTATCCTGACTGAGGTTTTTAATAGTTTTCTTCAGTGCCTCCAGGCAAATACTTGCATAGTACCCCAAAATCTTCTTTCCACATTATTATTCACTATCATCTTATCATCTGATACCACATAGTTTCCGTTATTGACAACACAGTCAAATAAATAAGTTTTCCTATAAGGTCAGTGATGTTAGGCAGATAGAAATGCGCACAGCTGAGCTGTTAATACCTGATCCCAGCCCTGTTGAGGATGAAATTGCTGTTGCAAAATTGAAAAGATATAAATCACCAGGTAGTGATCAAATTCCGGCAGAACTTGTTCGAGCAGGAGGCAAAATATTATGTTCTAAGACCCATAAGCTAATTACAGTAAAACTTGGTTATAGCAACATCGGTTTCTGCGACACCTTGTCTATTGCATCAAATATTCAATGGTACGAACTAATTCCTCATAAAGCAACTGTTTTTATACCTTGCTTAGTACGACATGCACAAATGCATCAACCTCGTATGTAACGTCATTTTCATTCCTGAATTTCTCTGATATGGACATTGAACGTAATTTAGAAAGTGTGTATTGGGCAAGTAACAGGAAACAGATGAAGATAACTGATTACTGTACTTGTATCTAGGTACAGTAAGGCACAACAATTGATGTAATCTACTGTAATTTGGTGAGTAGGCCTACCTTTAATATACAGTATTAGTGCGGTGTGTATTGTCAGTGAAAAGCGCTGTAATATGTCTTTGATATTACACATTTGGGCAATTCCACGTTAATGTTACGTTAGTCTGTACTTAACTACGTATTTCACTAAAAAAATGCAACATTTTAACTCGGTCTTTGGTAGATTTTCACGTGACTGACATAAGGCTACTGTGGAAGTGCCCATTTCGGTTACAACGACATTCGTTTATAACGACACTATTTTTAGGTCCCTTTGATGTTATAACCAAGTTCTACTGTACTTCTATTTGGCATAAGGAAAAACGGCCTGATCAGTGGAAGGCATCTATTATTGTCCAAGATCACAAGAATGGTTATAAAACTGACTGTAGTAATTATGGGGGGATATCACTGCTATTAACTTTGTATAAAATTGTATTCAATTACCTTCTCTCAGGGTTAAGTCCTTACATAGATGAAATTATTCGGGATCATCAGTGTGGGTTTTGACATAACAGATCAACTACAGATCAGATCTCTTGCATTTGTTGGATACTGTAGAAAAAATGGGACCACAATGAGACCTTACATCAGCTATTTGTAGACTTCAAGAAAGCGTATGATTCAGTTAGGAGGGAAGTATTGTGCAATATTCTGATAAGAGTTTGGGATACCCATGGAACTAGTTAGGTTGATTAAAATGTTTTTAAATGAAACTTATAGTAAAGGCTATATAGGTAAATGTTTATCTGAAAAATTTCTTATCTAGAATGGTCTAAAACGAGGAGATGGTTTATCACCACTCCTTTTCAACTTTGCTTTAGAATACATCATTAGGAAGGTCCACGGAAACCAGGTGGGACTCAAATTAAATGGGATATATCAGCTGTTGGTGTATGCCGATGATGTAAATCTACTGGGTGATAATATAGAAACCATAAAGAAAAACACACAAAGTTTAATTGACGCAAGTAAGGAGGTTGGCCTCGAAGTAAACACAGAGAAAACTAAGTATATGTACTGTCTCGTCACTAAAATGCAGGGCAAAATCATGACATAAAAATAGAAAACAGATGTTTTGAAAATGTGGGACAGTTCAGATATTTTGGAATGATGATAACAAATCACAACCTGATTCGCAAGGAAATTAAGAGGAGATTGAACTCAGGTAATGCTTGCTACCATTCAGTCCGGAACATTGTCTTCTCGTCTGCTGTCCAAAAACATAAAAATTAGAATATTCAAAACTATAATTTTGCCTGTGGTTCTGTATGGGTGTCAAACTTTGTCTCTGACATTAAGGGAGGAACATACACTGAGCGTGATTGAGAACAGGGTGTTGAGGAGAATGTGTGACCAAAGAGAGAAGAAGTGACAGGAGACTGGAGAAAACTGCATAATGAGGAGCTTCATTACTTGTACTCTCCTCCAAGTACAATTAGAATGATCAAGTCAAGGAGGATGAGGTTGGCAGGGCATGTAGCACAAATGGGGGCAAGAAGAATGCATATAGAATATTGGTGGGAAAGCCAGAAGGAAAGAGCACTGGGAAGACGAAGGCGTAGGTTGGTCGACAATATTAAAATGGATCTTGGAGAGATAGGATGGGATGGATTGATTTGGCTCAGGATAGGGATNAGAAGGAAAGAGACCACTGGAAAGACCAAGGCGTAGGTGGGTCGACGATATTAAAATGGATATTAGAGAGATAGGATGGGATTGTATTGAGTGGATTGATCTGGCTCAGGATAGAGACCAGTGGAGGGCTCTTGTGAACACGGTAATGAACCTTCAGGTTCCATAAAATGCTTGGAAATTCTTGAGTAGCAGATTTGGCTTCTCCTCAAGAAGGGCTCAGCTCCATAAGGAAGTAATCCCTGAGCTGGGGAACACCAATTGGTATAGCAACTAGGCTACAGGCGGGACAACCAAGGGATAAGGGTTTGATTCCCATAACAGACTTGATTTTTTCTTTTCTTCACAGCATATAGACTGGCTGTGGGCCTCACCCAGCCTCCTATCCAATGGGTACTGTGCGTTCTTTCTTCACGACAGAACTGACCACTCACCTCCCTCTTGTACCAAGAATGTGTGGAACTACACCTCCATTTTCCCCATACGTCTTCATGGCACATTGCTTAATTGAGCACAGAGACTACTAACTTTCACCTTCACACATTTCCATTCCAAGCATTGTCATGGTGTAACGATAGAACCAAAGGCTCATCATAAAAAATTAATCTTGAATGTTTCTTCACAGAGATATTAACAAGAAACGTGACAATTACTTGAGCTGGAAAGACTATTTCATGGCGATTGCATTCCTGGCAGCCAAGAGAAGTAAAGACCCATGTACCCAAGTTGGAGCATGTATTATAAATAAAGACAAGAAAATTGTTGGTATCGGGTATAATGGAATGCCTACTGGCTGTAGTGATGATGAATTTCCATGGAACAAGGGAAAAGTGGCCGGACATGACACAAAACATTTATATGGTAAGAGAAGTGGGAGTTCACACTTGTTCTCACTTGATGTGTGGGATATCAGTTTGTTACAAAAGGAAAATTTAAAGCAGTGAACGAAACTATGGTGCCATGTAGGAGGATTGTTCAGAGAAGAGCAAATTCTAAGTGAAATTCTAGAATTGATTTTAAACGAGACATACTTATATGGGGCTGCTAAAGCATTAATAGCAGGGAGAACTTTTAAATGCTGATCACAGCGGTCACAAGGTGTAAGGCATGAACTGTTTTTCTCACTCAAGTTCTGAGATCGTGAGTTCCAATCCAACTCGAAGATGTCTGTGTGCGTTTATTATGTCTGTGTTGTTCTGCGTGTAGGTAGAGGGTTTGTGATGGGCTGATCCCCTGTACAAGGAGTCCTACCGTTGTGTATAGGATTAAGAAACTGAAAAGCGGCCAAGTTCCAATAAAGGACTGTAGAGCCACAGAAAGACAGATAAAGTAAAAAAAAAATTAAGTAAATCTATCCCTGTAACAGGCCGTGAAGGCCCATAGGATTGTGAGATGTTGAGGGTCCCATATTATCTAGACAATTGGCTCAAAGATGGCAGAAAGGTTGTCAGCCTTACGCGCTGGCTGCCCTTTACTCCCCAGGAAAATTATTTAATTAATTCCTGTTACTCATTTCTGTTAGAGACTGAGTCAACCCCAGGGCCATAGTGTGGCTGGAAGGATTAGGTCAATTGAAAAAAATCCCCAGTGACCTCATCGGGACTTGAACCCGCGACCTTCCGGCTTATAGCATAGTGCCTCAACCAAATACACTACCACGTGCTCCCTACAGAAAGATAGATAGAACTTTTAAATACATATTTCATGATAAATTTTTAATTTGCTAAAAGCTACAGCTTAGAACTATAATGATGGCTGGAACAGAATTTTACAGAAGGGGAATTTTCAAACACCCAGAACGCTGTGAAAAATGTGTACAGAGAAGTGGCGATTATGTGGAAAAAAAAAAGAAAGGTCTGTAGATTGAGGTGGTGTATTTGGTTTGTCAATAATACAGCATATTACTTTACAAAAAATTGTTGCTCATGACTTTCAGTACGACCTATGTATTATGCTTCTACCCATGTCTAGAGTTCCTAATGGTCTCGTTCCTTCTGGCTTTCCCACAGAACCCCTATATATATTAAGCTTTGTCCAATGCATGCCACATGCTGTGTCCATCTAATCCTCTTTGACTTGCTCATTCTACTTACAGTTGGTGAAAAGTACAAGTTGCAGAGCTCATTACAAAATTCTCCAGCCTCCTACTATTTCATTTCTCTTCAGCATCCTATTCTTGAACAACTTCAGCCTATGTTCGTCCCTTAATGTCACACACTAAGTTTCACATCCATACACAACCACATGCAAAATTATAGTTTTACATATTTTTCATATAATTTTTTTAATACTTGTAATTTATGTTTCCCTTCAGGGTGGAAAATAAAAGGAAACAGATTTATCTAAAATATTGGTACCAGTCTACTAAAACTACAAAGCATGTCATATCCCAGAAAACAATCATTTTAAAAGATTTTCATGGTTTTTCCTCAGTCCCTCCAGGAAAATTCTTTGATTCTACCTTGAAATAAGCATGACTATCTCCTCTCATATCCTTGTCTACTCATCATACATGATCTAACTTCCAATCTTATTCTATGCTATAACCTGTAAATCTGAAACACCTCTGTGACTTGGGTCTGCAAGCAAACTATACTCACCAAGCGACCGCCGCTTGTCAGCGAAGTTAGTGCCAACTTCAATGGATAGAGGGTGTCATGTGGTCAGCGCAATAAATTCCCATGGCCGTTAATTACCATTTTCTAGACCAGAGGAGCTATTTCCTTGAAATAGCTCCTCAGTTAACCTGACTAGGCTGAGTGGACCCTGTTCCAGACCAACTACTTCTCAGAAAATCTGGTAGCGCCGGGATCGAACCAGGACCTCTGACCACTAGACCACAGAGGCAGTCTAAATCTGAAACACCATTGCTATATAACCTTCAAATCACTCAATATAAGAGTATTTAACTAGAAACAGAGAATCGAATGCCCCATATTACAGCACTTTACAGATGCCAACAGATGAAGCTTGGGTCCTGCTGAAGTTCTTTGTAAATTAGATGGTCTGACAAGATGTGACTCATGTCTTGGATTGAACAAGGTGGAAATGCATCTCATTTGGAGGTATTTAAATTTCAGCAACGACATTGGCTACCATGACTAACTTTTTTTTTTTTATGTTTTCCTTAGTCCCTCTAGCCACATGCTATAAATAGTACCTCGATTAGGCCATGACCACGCCCTTCCATATCCTTTCCAATTCATCTGCTATCCTAACATTTGACACTATACAGTCTAGCTACTGACAGCATTGTAAAATAAATCACAGAAGGACATTTCCAAGAGTAAGAATCTGCAGTAGTATTGACAGGATATACAAGTAACAATAAAGTAAAACCTTAGGAAGGTTCTGGACTGTGAGGTACTGCTTGTTGTATTACCTTTGCCACTATTCTTTTTGATTCTTTTATTTACCTTATCTTAACTATGTATCCAATTTCCTAAGTCACTATATTTGTTTTATATCAAGCATTTATCTGTACATCAAGGTCGAGTGGTTAGCATTCATCATGCCTTCTATCTCTGAAGGTTCCAAAGAACAGATATGATCTTTGTTACTCACATGTGCAAGAATGACTTAAATTAGGCAAAGCCCACATCCTTTCCAGTTATTGACAAACCATCTTATACCTCAGTAGGTATAGCGACAGGCTACAGGCTGGACAGCTGGAATTCGAATCCTGGCAGGAGAAAGATTTCTCTATTCACAACGTCCAGATTTCCTATGGGGCAACCCAGCTTCCTATCCAATTGATACCAGGGTGATTTCCCCATGGGTAAAGTGGCCAGGGCGTGAAGCTGACCACTTACCGCCTCTCCCCTATGTGTCTTCATTGCATAGTGTTTAATTAAGAACAACTTTACCTTTTTACCATTTGAAAAGTACAGTTTTCTGTGCAGTTCAGAAACAGCTGGAACATGCCCCTTCCATCTTCAGGGTCAAAGCAAGAAACGAGCAGAAGGGTGGCAAGCTAAGATGGAGGTGATATGTTCCTCCAGAACATTGGGCTGTCTCTGAACTACATGGCATTACAACCCAGTGGACTGTAACTTCATCATTACTATCATGAGAATCTCAGGTCCACCTTTATACCATTTGTCACTACATAACCAATGCAGTTCAAAGAAATTTGTTGGATGAAGAATCAATCAAGACTTTTTACACTTCTCAGAACAATATCTTTATCAATTCACTAGAGAACAACCCATGGAACTTAACAGTAAACTGAAAATACTAATACAGGAATCGCATTTGTTATAGGCTATTTGATTCCAGAAAAGCCTTTCTTGTGAGAAACTGACTGATCGTTCATTTGTTTGACATACTATATAACTTATGTCTACACACTCAATTCATTGCTGTGGTAGCCCAAAATTTCAAACTGTTAACTCAGTATTACATACTTTCTATATGTACAGAGAGAGAGAGAGAGAGAGAGAGAGGGTACAAAATTGTTCTGGATTGTCAGTTGGTGAATTTTTAAAGAAATTGTTGTGATAAATACACTCAACCAATTGCAAGAAGTAATCTTGCTGATACAGAACTGTAGATATGAATTCAATTGATGCAATATGATATTCACTGTAGTGGGAATTTCATATCTTTATAATCAGTCAACCAATCAATCAAATGTTTAACAGCAGAAAAAATGTTTGCAAATATTGATAAAGTTCCTTGTACTCTTGAAGAGCACAGTACACTTTATATAACCAATGTGGGCTTGCTTATGATCCCAATTAGAAATCAGAATTTCATACCACATATTGAATGGTTCACATCTTCAGTTACTTTCATGTTCCTCTATCCTTTCATTTTCTAGTATCACGTTATGGCATTCAGTACATATTTTGTTAATGTTTGGGGTCAATTCTTTCCCATGCTCTGCCCCAGGGCAGAGTATGAACAAAATTCTTTTTCTATGGTGTGTCAAGCCTTGGCCTCCTTTAAATGACACCTTCAAATTTGCCTGTCTAGAGATTCTCTTTTCCAGTTTCTCACATTGAGAATCTTGCTACTGTTTATTTCCACTGCATCAACCCATCTTTTCTTTGGCACTCTTACAGGCCCCGTTCTAATAACACTGCTTTGCAGAATCCTTTCTGGTATGAGTTTTTCATCCATATGCTGGATGTGACCTGCTCAGTGTAGTCTATTGGCATGAATTGTTCTCTTTCATTGGGCAAAGTATCCCATTCCTTTCCTTTCAAATGCATACACAGCAGATTCTGACCTTTGATGGTCCAACTTTCACTAGTTACTAGTCTTTATCAGAGTCTAATCTTTGTCTGACAATGTATTTAAGTCTCATGATCAGTAATAGTGAAAAATGCACTGTATTCTTTGCTGGAGTTTGTACTTTGATTTGAGCCTAGATATACACAAGTCCTTAACTGTTTCTGTTGTTTCCCCCATTGAGGTTATACAATGGATCTCATCTGCCTTTTAACTTGGAAACAGTAATTTTGTTTCAGTGCTTAATCTCCTTAAAGTAAATTCCAAAGCTAAATTAAATAGCATAGGCATCAAGCCATCTATCTTCTTGTTTAAACCCCTGTTCTACAGTTACTGAATCTGTCAACTCGGTTTGCACATGCAGGAACAAAATTATATGAAGAGAAAAATGATATTTAAATAAATTATTTTCTGTTAAGTTCTTGTTTTCTTATTCTTGTGTTTTTATTTAATCCAGGTTTTACTCTGGTAGATATGTAGTGCATCAAGTTCTGGGGACAAATCTGAAACAAGACCTCTATGGTATTGTCTCTCTTGACCATTACCTTTTAGAATCAATTCCATAACTGTTTAAGACTTTAGGTTTCCACAGTGGTGAAGCTTCAGTTTGTGGTATCCTGGATTATAGCATGCTGTGGTCTAGGTTACAAACACTTCAGAGGAACATGCTGCATCCAGCTTCAGTATCATGATGTGTATTTGTACCAACCGTCTTACAGTGCACACAATTTCACCTTCCTCTTCACTACATGTTTCGGCACTTATGTACCACCTTCAGGTGTGGTTTTGTTTATGTCAGACCATTGCACTGTATGCCATCATGTCTCCTTTATAAAATGATTAAAATGTAAATATGTCATGTATAATAATATTTATATATTAAAACTTTTCAAGATTTATCATCTATACGTCGCACTTCAAATTTGTGAGTTACGTCAATCCTCTCCTATGGGAGTACTCTTCCCATATTATTGTGTATATTGTGTCCTTCCTTTGTGACACCTGAAGATGGCACATTAGTGCCGAAACATGTAGTGAAGAGAAAGGTGAAATTGTGTGCATTGTAAGACGGTTGGTACAAGTACACATCATGAACATGAATCAGTGCAACAGGATGCTAAAATATAACATTATTAACAGCTTCAGTATATAAACCTGAACTCTCATGCTGCATCCAGTATGTTTCTCCAAAATTTTCATAACCACCTACCAAACTAAGAGAGTATCTTTGCAGAGGCATCTAAAGGTGCCTTCAGTAGTTCCATATAGTGTCAAATGGATGATAAACTAAAGAGGATCTGGAAAGTAAGCGTGGCTTGTCTAAGGTACTGTCCCAGCATTTACATGAAGGGACTGAAGAAAACCACAAGAAACATAAAGTCAGAATAACTGGTATCCTGGCTGAGATTTGAACCAAGTGCCTGCTAAACATGGGTGTAGAGTGACAGCAGTACACTAACCCGCTTAGTTTAAACAGTGTCATAACCCAGAAAACCACAATATGAAAATCCCATAACTGTTTTCATTGTATGAAAACTGGTATCAATCAGACTGCAAAATGAGTAGGCAGTTTTTGACTACCAGTATGTATAATTTTATTATCACTTAAGACTGAAATTTAAATGCTCAAAAATGTTAACATTTTGAGTTGATAACTGCAAAAGAAATGCACAGATAGAAGTATCTCCATCCAATTCTGGGATGAACAAGCCAAGAGTCTGTTTTCTCGTTCTGTGCCTAAACATGTTTAATGTAACTGTCATGAAGGAAGCATTAAAGACTGCAAATTAAAAATTACCATATTTCAGTTTGCCATGCTGAAATGAATGCTATACTAAACAAAAACGCAGCAGACGTCAAGAATTGCACCATGTATGTTGCATTATTCCCATGTAATGAATGTGCTAAAATTATAATCCAGTCTGGAATCAGAGAAGTGGTCTACATGTCAGACAAACGCTCTCACAAGGTGGAGACAAAGGCTGCCAAAAAAATGTTTGATTCAGCAGGTATCATTTACTGGTAAGAAAATATCCTAAAATTTATTAGTAGTTTTCTCAGACCCCTGAATTTCAGGACTTGCTAGAACTAATAACTGTTACCTAATTCCAGTTCAAGGAATTTATATACATTTACAGTTACTTCTGGAATGAGACACCATATAGTCTGGTAAATAGGTACCAGTGTTTTGGAGGAATTAGCTCCATCTTCAGGCATCTACCATCACTACAATCTCACACTCTGTATATCTGTTGGTGTCTTCAGTGCACACTGTTTCTACTAATATTTGGTAGTATTTTTAAATGAGTTCTACATTTACCAATAAATGTAGGTCTATTATATTTGCTGATCTGAATTAAATTGTCCTTCATTATCTTTATATTACGAGAGAAGTGCAATTTAAAATGTTTTGTCTGCACTAATGTATAATTACAGCTCTGTATACCATGTGTTTAACATGCCTCTATTTTGGTTCATATTGCAGGCAGTACACTCCACAAAATCCACAGATTGTGATTGACTTCAAGGAAATCGATTGGGATAATATGACCCAGTTACCGCCATCCCCTGTTAAGCAAAATGAAAATATATGAAAATAACACGGTTTTTAATGAACACTTGTGGTTTGGACAATCATTAGTGGTACTCCACTTCTGAATTCTTTTCATTCTAAGTATACATAAATTTTCTGTAACAGTAAAAGCAAGAAAAGGTATTATAATATTGCAGCATATAACCTGTTGCTAGGCAAAGACCTCAAAACAAATGAGACAACAGTTGTCGCTGTGCAGTGGTGCTTTCTATGTAGTCTGTGCCAAGGAGTTACACTGAAGACAATTGGGGCAACCCAGTGGTTGTCAGCTGAGAGTTGAAATCTGCATAGGAGGCTGTGAAGACAGGGCCTGAGCACATGGAGCTGAAGACACAGCAGGCTGGAAAATGGCTTTCCAAGTGGTCAAATCCATACCCCGTCTATAGTCACACCCACAGAAATGTAATGTGGCTTGTTAACCCATGAATCAGGTAACTAACCTGCTGATATTCAAGTCATTTTATAACAGACTTACATGCACAGCATAAAGAATGTGACAGCAGACTTGCAAAGCAAGGTAAAAAGGTTAGCTTTCTCTCTGTTTTAAGCATCATGTAATCAAGATACATGGAGGAGTGAAGGTATAGCTCCATGCATTAACCTTGGTACTAAACAGAGAACAGTGATCAGTTTCGTGCTCAAGCTGCTTTACTGCCTGTGAAATAGCCCCAGATACCCATTGGATAGGAAGCCAGGTGCGCCACAGAACCAGTCTGAATGAAGTGGCGACAAGAAAAATGTCTGCCTGACAGGAATCAATCCCTAGTCATTCAGTAATAACAGTATGAACAATACTGTAGAGTAATTGCTACAAGTTGTATGTTGTTGCTTTAACCCTTGGACAGTCACCATATTCCTATACTACCAGACCACCAATTTCTTAACACAATGTGAATACTTTTGTAAACTGTAATTACTGTTCTTCCACATGCTATACGATGGGGTACCCAAAAGAAACCGAACTAATTTTTTTGTGGGCAGAGCTTTTGTAGTACCACGTTTTGCCGCTATGAGCACATAGAGCTAACATTCCTGAGTCGATAAGCCGACTACCGTTGCTTCAGAAGGTAAGGACTAGTTTCGGCAGAGTTTATAGTGACAACTGTTTTGTGTGATCGTCGTTTTTGCAATGGCTGATTTTCGTGAACAGCATGCGGCGGTGGAACAGAAACTCTTGAAATGTTAAAAACGGCGTACAAGGACGATGCTATGGGGAGAACTCAAGTGTTTGAGTGGTTTTCTCGTTTCAAAAATGGCGAAATGTCACTTGATGACAAACCTCGTTCTGGTCGTCCTTCCACGGCCCGAACACATGAAAATGTTGAAAAAATTCGTGAAATCATCAAGGAAGATCGACGACGGACCATTGAAGAAATTGTGGAGCTGTCGGGAGTGACGTGGAGCTCAGCGGCCAGATTTGTGGCAGTCGGGTGACTGGTTTTTCCATCATGACAATGCCCCTGCTCACACGGCCCTGTCTGTACGACAATTCTTGACCAAAAATGGTATGACCCCTGTTCCTCACCCTCTATAATCACCCGACCTTGCCCCGTGCGACTTTTTTTTTTGTTTCCTCGAATGAAAAGAGACATGAAAGGAAAAAACGACGGAGGAGCTGTCAAGCATCTCAAAAGATGAATTTAGAAAATGTTTTGAAAAATGGAATATAAGACTAGACAAGTGTATTAGTGTAAGTGGAGAGTACTTTGAAGGGGATTGAAGGTTTGTGCTTAAAATTTGAATAAATAAGTTAAAAAAAAAGTTTGGTTTCTTTTGGGTACCCCCTCGTACTTATGTAATGAACTGAAAATTAAACACTGTAAATTAGTACGAAAGACCACAAAGATTTCTGATTTTCTAACAGATCTTTCAGCCTGGTCGGTAATTATTTGAAGACAAGGTGTATTTAGCATTTCATGCAGAATTACAATACCTGATGTAAAAATTACATTTTATTAATAAATATTAATAAGAACTTGCAATACCAAAGCCATCAGATTCCAACTAGAGCTGCTTTACTGCTGGGCGGACACATGAACATAACCAAATGAAAGCACAGTAAGTTACTAAAGACTGGTCTTCTGGGTTGCGACACCACGTCTCGTGGGAGGATTACAGTGATTTGGAGAACTAAACTTCAAAACCTGAAGATGCAGGAAGCACGTTCCTCCAAAAGTCAGTATCCACCCACAAGACTATAATGTTAACAGTCACCACCACAAAACCCTCAAAACTTACAAAAATCAAGTAGTGGCAAAATATTGTGACATGTTGCGCTAAGGAGAACCACCCCCCACCAGCAGTGACGCGGCGGGTGAGTCAGCGCTCCCCTCCCCCTCCTCCGCACGGTAACGAAG